TTGATAGGAAATAAGGATAATCCCATGCTATACTTGCCTTCAACAAAGTGCTCCTGCTGACCCTGCTCGTTAAAGTAGTACTCTTGATCACCCACGAATTGCACACCGTCTATACTCGATAATCAAAACAACATACAAGCATTCAAAAGCAATCATGCATAGCAAACAAAAGGAATAGATTAGAACAGTACACCAATCAGCATAAAAGTCAAGATGAAAAGTTTATAAAACGAATCTACGTCTCACTACGAACGCACAGACGCGAAGATCATGAAAATCAGAGCTAAAACGAAGAAGTTACGAATTAAACAAGATTTCCTTTAATAAAATAATAGATTAAATCTAACCTTCAATTTTAAAAGTTTAAAATATACATAACAATAGTATGAACATGTAGATTACGCAATTACGAACCTAACGCAACTTGAATGGATCTAATCGGAGTTAAAACGAAGACTTTATGGCTAAAACAAGATTAGTGGCAAAACTGTAAATAGATGGAACTTGATTTTAGAATTTAAATTAATAAAATCAGATTTTAAACCGAAACAGGGACTGCGGGCATGAAAACGAAGAAATACAGGGGCTCTTTAACAAAATTGTAGGGACGACGGGTTCTATTTAGATAAAACTGAGGGGCTCTTTAGCAAATATGACAGGCGAAGGGGTATCTTTGAATCTGGGACGTTTGATCACGTGATGGTCGGCTGCGATTAAGTGGGAGGGAGAGAGAGAGCACACGACCGGCCAGAGAAAGGCCGACGCGGTGGCTGCCATGAACGGTGGCGAAGAGCTCGCCGACGTTTGTCGATTTCGACATTCCGGGCATCATCGGACACGGGAAAAACATGGGGAGAGAGGAGATGACGTCGAACTCACCTTGATGAAATACCAAGGTGGGGGACCGACGATGATGCGCGGCGACTGCAGAACCGACGGCGGCGGCGGAGCTTAGGGCTGCGGCTTTGTGAAAGCTCTTAGCACATATGTCTCCTATATTTCCTATCTAAGCATATGTGCAAGTTTCAATCCAAACTCTTAGCACATATATAGGGGAGCAATTGCTACTATTTGGGGTTCATGAAACTTGTCTATATCCTTTACACATGATAAATATGCTTGAACAAGCAACATGAATTCAATTGAATTTCAATTCATATCTTTGTGAAAGGGTTGTCATCAATTACCAAAAAGAGAGAGATTGAAAGCTCTAGTTTAGTTTTGGTGAATTGATGAAACCCTAAGTGCTAACCTAGTTTATCAAAGTAATTATGAGATAGGTGGCACTACTCTAAGTGATGAAGTAATTATGAAGATCATGATGATGGTGATGCCATGGTGATGATCAAGTGCTTGGACTTAAAAAGAAGAAAGAGAAAAACAAAAGGCTCAAGGCAAAGGTATAAATGGTAGGAGCCATTTTGATTTTTGGTGATCGAGACACTTAGTGAGTGTGATCACATTTAGGATAGATAGTCATACTATTAAGAGGGGTGAAACTCGTATCAGAATGTGGTTATCAAAATACCACTAGATGCTCTAACTCATTGCATATGCATTTAGGATATAGTGGAGTGCTAACACCCTTAAAAATGTTTGTGAAAATATGCTAACACACATGTGCACAAGGTGATACACTTAGTGATTGGCACATTTTGAGCAAGGGTTAGGATCTTCACCGGCGCCCTAGACAGAAAAGACAGAGGTCACTGTAAGTGACCGGACGCTGGTCTCAGTAGGATCGACGTGTTCGGTCAGGTGGAGCATGAAAACGCTAGCGTCGGTCTCTGACCGGACGCTAGATCGCTTAGTGACCGGACGCTGAAGGGGTGCGTCCGGTCCTGCTGATGTGGCAGCGCACAGAAGAGTCACCGTGTGACCAGACGCTGGGTGAGTTTGGTCGAGCATGACCGGACGTGTCCGGTCGTGAAAAGTCGTCTCTGGATGCTTACTGGAAACGACCGGACCGCTAGGGCTTAGCGTCCGATCACTTTGACCTGCTGCGTCCGATCATCACTTGACCGTTGAGATCGGGCGATCGGCATTTGAAGAGAGGGGACACGTGGCACGCATCGCGTGACCGGACGCTGAGGTCTAGCGTCCGGTCAATATGACCGGAGCGTCCGGTCACCCCACGTTGTGTCCAGTGAAGGGGTACAACGGCTCTATTTCGTGGGGGCTTCTGTTTAAGCCCCATAGCCGGCTCAAGCTCACTCTCTTGGCCATTTGCATTGACATAGCAATCTTGTGAGCTTAGCCAAAGCCCTCTCTCATCTCCATCATAGATTCAACATCTTTATGAGATTGGGAGAGAATCCAAGTGCATTGCTTGAGTGTTTGTATTTAGAGGCACTTGGTGTTCGTGTTTCGCTGCGGGATTCGCTTGTTACTCTTGGTGGTTGCCGCCACCTAGACGGCTTGGAGCAGCGAGGATCGTCAAGCGGAGGATGGTGATTGTCTCCGGCTCCGATCGTGGTGATTATGAGGGGTTCTTGATCTTTTCCCGGCGGAGAGCTAAAAACACCCTATCGAGGGTTTGGCGTGTGATGCCAATTAGCGCGTGAACCTCCAAGTGAGTGAATCACCACAACGAGGAGTAGCTTGCCGGCAAGCAAGTGAACCTCGGTAAAAAATCATTGTGTTCATAATTTGATTCCGAGGTGATTGGTTTTCATTGATATTCATCCTTGTGATTGATTGGTTCACTCCTCGACACGGCGGTATAACTATCTTGCTCTCTCACTTTACAATACCGTAAACTAGTTGTCAAGCTCTTTAGTGTAGCTAGTTGTGAGAGCTTGTTAGTTTGGTTAGTGTGGCTCTTTAGTTAACTTTTGAGAGCGCACTAATTTAGTGTAGTGATATAGCTATTGTGTGGATATAAACTATATAAACTAGAATTGTGGTAGGTGGCTTGTATTTTTAGTAGGCTAGCGCAACACTTACTTCGCCTTATAATTGTCTAACTGGTTTGTTAAGTGTTGTTGTAGAAATTTTTATTAGGCTATTCCCCCCCTCTAGCCATTAGGACCTTTCACTTTGCTGCGGCTTGGAGCGAGGGCGGCGGCTTCGGCGTGACTGGATGGAGGCGGCGGGTGCATAGGGGCGCTATTTAAGGGGGAGCCGTGCGTGGGGCGCACGCCAGGACATGGCGTGGCGGAGGGGACTCGGCGGCAGGAGCAGTGTCCGTGCCGGACACGAGATGGAGGAAGGAGACGACGCCGACCGGTGGGCCCGGCATGTCAGCGGATGAGATCGCAGGGTCAGGCTGTCAGCCAAACAGAGAGGGAGAGGGGAGCGGCGCTCGCGGCTGCTGCTGGGCCGACTCGTTTACTGGGCCGTGGGGAGAGAGAGCAGGCCGCGCAGGGAAGCCAGGCCGAGCTGGGCTGCGGCGGGAGCGGCAGCCGGGCTGGAGCTAGGCTGCTCGGGCCAAAAACTGAGAAGGGAGAAGAAAAATAATAAAACTTCTTTTCTATTTTCTTACATATCATTTCAAATCCAGTTCAAACTCAAATTCAATTCTTTTGCAAATTTTGATCTAACCCAAAGCATCACAAAATAAATATGCAGCATCATATATGCACATACATGTATGTAGACCTATATTTAATTTTATTTTCAACAAAGTTATTATTTTCCTAAATTTAAATGCTCACAAAATGTATAATTAAATCATTTTTTCTATTTTAAAATGTTGCAATTTTTAGGGTGCTACGTAGTTGAAACCTTCCAAAAGAGTATAGGCAACATGAGGTGGCCAGGTGTTTTGTAGTTTTGATTCAAGGCAGAGTTTTGTAAATTGGCAACGATAGCATGAATTTTTTGTTGCAAGAGTTGTCACCCAATAGAGATCTCATATATTCCTCGATCTCCTAATGAACACCAAAAGAATGCAACGGGTATCTACTAACAGGGTATCTACTAACAGTTCAGTGGCTCTCCAAGACTACATACATGAATGATGTGTTCCATGCCTTTTTTATAGATTACCTACAACCACATTGCAACAGGACCAGGACACTGCAGTTAAGCAGGGAACCAAAATTATGTGTTATATATTGCCTGCACCTACACCTGGGGAATAGTTTCTGATGAGCGCCATCTGAATAGCAATTTTCTACCTGAGATTTTTATTCCATCTGCTACTTTACAGTAGTCCTGACTCCTCATGATTAGTTAATTAAATGACTTTGTCACATTTAGGTGCTACGTTCATTTTCTTCAGATGCTAAAATATGGCACAATACTGTAGAAGTATGAAACCTGAGTTTATTTGGTGATATTTTTACTCATTTGCAATTTTACAAAAATAGATTCTCCTTAACCATATAAATGTTTTTATTTGCCTTCATGCTTTTCAATTCATCTACGTAAAACATTTCGTGGATTGCAGGAAAGAACTGCTCTGTGCCCTCCGATGTATTGCCTTTCAGCCTCAGTTTGATTGGTGCAGCGAAAGAAGAAAGATGGCACAAAGGATTCTACAATGCGCTCAGGCCATGTCTAATGCATTCGACTGTTTCTATTATCAAAGCACAAATCAGGATGAATGCCCTCTTCATGTGTTTTCGTTTGCAGATTTTTAATTTCGATGCATTTCATGTGCTACAAGCCTACAACCAAGGTCTGCATCTAATGAAAAACAGAAGGTTCACTACCCTTGATGTATAGAAAAGTGGCCTCCAGTAACATCCATTCCATTTTTCGGTTTTCCTATAATTCGAAACCGCTCATTTGTCGCTACTGTATTTTCGTGCTTCCTATGACTCAGATCTTCCTAGCCCGCGCAACTGCACGGGATTCCGGCTAGTTGCATATATAGCCCCCCTTTGGCAGGGCTTTTGCCGCGGCTTCTCGAGCGGCTTCGGGTGAAGCCCTGCCAAACGGCCACAGGCAAAACGGCTTGCGGCAAGAAGCCGGCAAAAGACCCGCAAAACCCGGTGACTCAGTTCCTCCCCACACGAGAAGCCAAAAATACTGGCTTATCCGGCTCGAGCTCGTCACTTTTCATCCCTGTCCCCGGCTTGCTCTCCTCCCCGACGCCGCGCCGGCCTCGAGCTCCGCCCCGCGCTGCTTCGATCTCCCTGCACCGCTCCGCCGGCCTCGAGCTCAGCTCCAGCTCCGCCCCACTGCCGGCCCCTCCTGGCCTGGAAGGTGTCGGACCGGTCGGGGACCGTGGACGAGGAGGCGCCGAAGAAGAGGAGGTCCACGACGATGGGGTCGAGGCCGGCCACGAGGAGGTTGCGGAGGTACGGGGCCCACTGCCACGTCGCCGAGGTGCCGAAGCCGTGGAGGAGGAGCACGGGCCGCTGTGCTGCCATGCTGGGGCGCCAGAGGTGGACCACGGTCTTTGGTGCCGGCCCGGCGAAGGGAGGTGGACGGAGAAGGGCGGAGGCCCATGGAGAGGAACCGCCCCGGAGGAAAGCGATCATGTGGTGTGAAGCTTTGGAGCTACGCCCGAGAGAGAGAGAGAGAGAGAGAGAGAGAGAGAGAGAGAGAGAGAGAGAGAGAGGAGGGAGGGAGGGAGTGGGTGACAGGATAAGGAGGAGAGGAGTGTGGCCGATCGGATAAGGAGAAGAAAAGAAGGGGAGAAGGAAAGAAAAAGAAAAAAAGAAAGAAAAAGAAAAGAAAAATGAAGAGAAAAAAGAAAATAGAGAAAAAAAAATATAAGGGTATTTTGGATATTTGACATCTTCTTTACAACTAGGAGAATCCGTTTTGCCAAACGTTTTCGTACAAATAAGCCAGAGCCAGAAAAAGCTGCTTTTCCATATGAGCCAGAGCCAGAGCTATTTTTTCACGAGCCAAAGCCGTGCCAAACGGGCCCATAGTCTATCATCGTTCGACTCCTGATTCCAGCTAGGTCCTGTTCGCTTCGCTGAAAAAACAAGCCGAAACACTGTTTCGGCTGATTTGTTATGAAAGAAAAATACTGTTCCGGTTAAAAAAACAAATTAAAAAATACGGATTATAAGAGAAACGAAGATGCCCTATCAATCAGAACTCTAAAATTACACAAATCACGTGAAATATCAGCCATCCTGCCGGTCTCGAGGATGTTTGTCTCAAGAAAAAAGTAAAAATTTTATATCAGTGTCTACTAATATAAATACGTTGTGTTGTAACGTTTTAGTATGTCTTAACAAAAATAGGGACACTTTCATAGATGCATCTATGTAGTGTAACTATTAATATAGACACACATTATGCTAACAGCTTCTTACATATTAGAAACAAAGATTTTTTTTACTGCACATAAATAATTTTTATACTAATTTCTATGATTTGATAATAAGAAAGTGAATCATAAATTGCATTGATAAAATCTATTCTATCTTTACAAACCAAGATACTGATTAAATAATAGATTAAAGTGCACTGAACAAGACAACCATGTTCATCAAGAAGCATAGGAAAAGTGACCATATCATACAAATATATATAGTTTGTCTCTAACGCCTAAAATCTATCTTGTTCACACTAAACGTGTAGCTTGCCTTCCTATCCACATCAAGTCACATGCATGCTTCCATGTACTTGTAGCTTCCATCCACATCAAGTCACTTGCTTCCATCATGCTACAAAATAAGAGGAACCAAAGTTTCTAGGACATCAGCAACTATTTACGTGCTATGCTTGTAGCTAGGGAAATAAGAAATAAAATAGGAAATGTATTACCTGCACATCATTTGTTGGAGAGTACGCATTAGGATTTGATTCTTCAGAACTGTTAGGCTACAGAGTAAAATAACAGAACCTACTTAGTTGCCTTCTGAAATATAATGCCCAAATTTCAATTGTTACATGTTATCACATAGTTCCACTAACAACTCAATATCTACTCATCTAGTTGTCGTGTATAGCACCTATTCTTATCAATTTAAACAAGAAGCCATTTAATTTGCTCTGAGTCTTACTCTAAAGGCTAGTTAAGAATATATGCTCATATCAAAATTAATATAGGAAAAACAAAAAAAACCTGCTTAGTCTCATGTGGTACAGATAGACACGACAGACTGATATGAGGTGGTCTATCACTGGGCAACGATTTGCTCATGTGTGGTAACGACGACTGGGCAAAATCCTGGTTTACTTTAGAATTAGGACATTAGAATGTAGCTAAATACTATATTGTCGCTAAGAAATTAGAGATAGAAAGGGTATTGTGTTACCCGAACATCATTTGTTGGAGAGTAAACATTTTCATTTGAGTCTTCAGGATCGATGCCAATATCATTATTACTGTAAGCGCCATGGCCATCATCATCATCATCATCACTACAAGCATGCTCTGTATCATCACCATCCATTTCAATATGACCAACCTGCTGGAAAATGAAACATCAAGCAGGGAAATGAAACATCAAACACAGTAAAGAGAAAATGAGAACAAACTGATCTACCCATAGATGCTTACTTCATCACGAAGAGCTAATTCCATTTCATTTATGCAAATCCATTTCAGGGAAAATTTTAGATATAAAAGCAAGCCACTGCTTCATGATACCAGTAATGTGTTGTATATATCTTATTTTCCATTTGGCCCTACATGTATAGAATCGATGCATTAACATCATATCCAGATATGTAAGCAAGCAATATCAAACTTACATATTATCTTAATTGGAGTGGCTTGTTCGAGTGGCATGCTGGCTAATATATCATCAATATCTGGAGGACCTTCTAAATTCTCTTCGTGTCTGCCAAATTTTCAAGCCCCTCCTGCATAGGTTCTCCATCCTGTACTTCAAGGTTCAAGTTCCTTAATCTTCGAGGTCCTCTTTCCATGATTTATGTATCTTGCAAAGAAACCAAAAATTAGGGAAAAACTGAGAAATTAAGTGACTGAAGTCTAAAGAACTCATTACTTTCATTCAGAATAGCAGCAAGCCAGCCAGTAGTGCTTCATTGCAAAGTAGCATCACCAAATTAGGGTACTCAAGAACAAAAGCATCTGAACCTACCACTATCTTCAATTAAGGAGCATAACAGACTAATCTCCAATAATCCCTTCTTTTCTGAAACTCCAAAATAAACCCAGACTAATCTCTACATTAAGGAGCATAACACTAGAATCCAGTAAGTAAGACCATCTAGGGAATAAAATCAGTAACTTGTCGAACTGATTGCAGTAGTATTCCAGCCAAACATTAGTGCTTCATTGCAAAGTAGCATCACCAAAGTAAATTCCTCGAAGACAAAAAGCATCTGAACCTACCACTACGTTCAATCAGATATGACCAATTAGGCTAGAAAGAATTAATCGATGGTAGCTGCAGCAGTAATATAAATTAGGCTAGGAGCAGTGGCGGAGGACTGAAAAATTTTAGGTATGGCAAAATTGATAACATAGATAGTAAAGTATAAGATTTAACATACATAGGCAATTGCACTTACCTATCTTTCACTGCTTCACAAATTAATCAACCAAATTGAGTAATTAACCAACATAAATAAATTAAACAACAATAATTTAAAAGTAGTTGGTGACTAAAAAGAACAAGTAATTTGTCTGATCTAATGACTAATGCTTGATGGTGGGACATCGTTGGCGTGTCTGCTCTAGACTGATGCCCGCTAGCAAGACTGCAATGCCGCCTAGCTTTGCCTGCTCCCCTTGCTGTACTGTATTGGCATGAACTTGCAGTGCAGACAGCCGCCAAAACTTGCCTATCGCCAGAATCAGAAGTTCAGAATTTGCTTACTCGCCGGAACTCAACTAGCGCACAATTTACAATTTCGTAGATGGTTGCCGGAAATTTCAGCAGAGAATCAGCTCTGAGAGCTCTGCCAAACAAGGCCATTATGTAAACCTAGAATCAGAATACTACATATAAAATTCTAGACGGCGTGCAATTGCATTTTCTTTATAACCCCCAGGTGGTCACGTTTTGCCAAGTGGGATAACCAAGGTTCAAGGTTGGAACCTTTGGACGGTACTACATTTTTTGTTATTTTCATTATCATTTATTATTTATTATTATAAATTCCATAGTGGACAATACTACTCAGCCTCAGCCCATAACAAAGGTTCATGGTTCGAACCTAAAACATATACTATGCTTTTTTATTCTTTTTTTTGTCATATTATATATTATATAAATTCGATAGTGCATAATAGTATTAGGACTCAATCCATATTACTTTGTGAAAATCGAGTCAAGTAGTAAGTCTGGAAGGTACATGAAATAGAATGTTAACGAAACATTTAAAAAAATATATGTTATGGTAATATATTTTGTCATAAGAATAGATGTCTGGTTTTGACTTATATTTTCTTTGAACCAATCATAATATCTGATTAGTGTGTTGTGCTATATTGATTGCTTGTAGGTAGCTACAAATTTGTAGAAGAAGGTTGTGTGTGTGCGCGCGAGACAGAGAGCGCGCGCTAGATATGTATGGATGTTTAATATATTTTTTACAATGTCCGTACATGTTGTTAATGGATGACCAAGGCATATCTAATTTTGTTTTTGAGACGTTTTTAATATCGTATCAAGAAGCATGTTTACGTGACTATGTATGATTATTGATACGCTTTGCAACGTGTATAAATTATACTGATGATTTAAAGCGTGTCTAACTTCGTGTTATATTGAGACGACTTTAGTATTGTATCAAAAAATGTCTTTAATTAGCTATGGAGCGTTTTCTGATATACTTTGTAACGTATCTAGAAGCTAGTGACGATTAAAAGCGTGTCTAGCACCGTGTCGGTTTGAGACGTTTACAATATATCATCATAAAAAGTGTCTTTAGATGTCTTTTAACACTAAAAACGTGTCTAATGACATGTTATGTTGAGACGTTCATAAAATCATGTCAAAAATCATCTTTATATGATTGTATAGAGACGCTTTTAGTGTGTATTACTACTAAAACGTGCCTAGAGCCACTTTTTAATGTAGTGTAACTCGCTATGCTACGCTACGCATAGCGTTCGCACGCACCGCATGCAGCAAAGCAAACATACAGAGGTGCTCCACCATGCTCCTCCACACACATAGTACCACCACGCGATAGCCGATAGGACACACAACTCAACCATGCATCATAGTGGCACAGTGAGGGTATTTATTTCGGAGTAGCTAGGAGTATTTGCCATCGATCAATCGATCATGTCCGGCGGGGCGGGCGTGTGGGTGTTCCGGGACGGGGTGATGCAGCTGCTGCCGGCGGCCGGCAGGTCGAGCCGGAGGAAGGCGCTGGTGTACCTGCCGACGGGCGAGACGATGGCGTCGCTTGAGGCGCTGGAGCGGCGGCTGGCGGCGCACGGCTGGGAGCACTACTACGAGAACACCGCTCCTTGGTGCAGCTG